ATTGACTATCCGGCTAGTCTCTACGTTAACCTTCACTACGGGCGTTGTAATGGTAAGTTTGTCCTGCACTATTTGTCACGAACAGTTGATCTATTAACAATAAGTAACAAACACGAATCACGAATCTTAATCACGATGGACTATAAAGAAAGATTTCTCATTCTCACTTGAAAAGTCGGTAGCAGTCCAAAGAGCGATGGGTCGACTCAGCAAGTTACAGCACATTTCCAATGAAGCACTATTATTCTGGTCTCTATAGGCAATGCTTATAAAGGCACTGAGCAGCCAGAGAGAAAAACGTAAGAGACAGCAGAAAAACAGGGCAGAACGTGAGTGGTATCTGCAAAAGCAACAAAAGAATATTAAAAGAACGGAGAAAAGCAAGTCAGTGTGACGGAAGGATTCACCTGCAAGCCTTTATGGAATCAGTGGAATGAAAGAGACTCAAAACAGAATGAATTGAAGAAGTCAGTAGTACCAAGATGATGAAGCACCTGATCAAAATATTGAAGTAGTCTTATTGGAAAGCCTGTCAGAACGGAGTAATTAAGTACCACTGATCACAAATTATACACATATATACATACTTGAGAGCTACTGCCATATTAACATTTTCAATTCAGGCAGCTTTTGCGATTCTACAACTTCATTTCATTACTGTATACCTTGCGGATCCGGTGGTTGGCGGTTTTACGACCGGTGCTGCTTGTCATGTTTTCGCTTCACAAATGCCCAAGCTGATCGGCGTTCGGATACCACCAAGACATGGTCCTCTGGGCCTTTTCAAAATACCATATGTAAGCACATTTGTCACCAAGTTTTATAATCGACGACAGTTTTCTGAAAAAAGTTATGAATTAAAAAGAATGCGAAAACAGTCTGGGCAGTTGGTCCAGGGATTCTAACTTTGTGATATTAGCGAGGTGTAAACCAAAATAAAAATTCAAGACCGCCGAAACAACTGGTATAAGAGTTTCGATGTTGGTGATTTTGCTTGAGTATAGACCGAATTAACCAAAACCGTGTGAACAAGCAGCACAAGTATCTCACGCTAGTGATGTTAAGTTTCAGTTTCTATTCGATTTTGCATTATCATTAAAACGAACGAATGTGTATGTTCTAATCATGTCACTAATTTCCATAACCATACTAATGTCCGGAAAATATCTCATCAATCCGCCAGTGCAGCAAAGGATACGGGTACCAATACCTTTCGAGTTGTTAGTGGTTAGTTTCCTACTTTGATAATTGGTCACTTATTGGAGGATGGTTCAGAAGACGAAAACTCAGTAAGAAAAAAACATCAGTAGTAGGTGGCATGGGGGCAAGCGCAAGTGCAACAGGAGGTCCAGGAAGTCGTTTTTCGCCACGTGGGCCACATTCCTAGTAGAAAATCAGAAATGTCATTTTAATAGAGCAGCAATTAGAATTAGGCAATATCACTTCATCATTTTTATTTTAACCAAAGTCAAAATTCATTTCGTGTCGCAGAAGTCTCTCGAAAAGCCAACAGTTGTTGAAAAGGGTGAACGTTGTGCAGAAAGCAGCAATCAGACAATGTAGAGCATGTATAGGGATACCATACCTACAGATTATAATTGCACCAACAGGTGCGCGAAGCACAAAGGCCGATGGCGCCATGGTCGGACACATCGTGTCCGGATGTGAAGACGAATGAGTTGATTCGCTTACGGCCCATAACCATTTTCAAAAAGGGGCCCTGCCCACGAAACGCCGTCTTTAGTTTCTGCGAGAAGTCGAAACTCTCGAAACTAGTCCAAGTGATGGCTCATTCGATAGAAGCCACACGTTGACAAAGCTATCGATAAATTACACTTCTTGTACCTGATATGTTGCACTTTTTCAGTTAGAATGTGAGGAATTTTTTACCTCATTAATGCTGGTGACAGTTTAATGCTCTGTTAAATCTCACTATGCCGCAAATGAAACTTTTAGAATAACTGCCATTGTCTTTTCAGATGATTGTTAGCATAATCGTAGTGTACAGTCTCAAATTGAATGTGAAGCATCAAGTTGCCATTGTTGGATTTATTCCACGCAGGTGCTTTTTTCCCCCAAATACTCAGGAACATCAGGATTGCCCGGACATTCGGTCTGGGTATTCCATTTTGGTAATGTTATTGAAATGCACTCACAAGCTGGGCGCATTTTTGCTGGGCTCTTTGATCCTGAGCTTTATACCTGCACCCACCGCCTGATCCAAGCTTGCACACGATCTCTCATATTAATGAATTAGATAATTATTCGTTTAGCCCGCAAATAACTATGATGGGACGATCGAGATCCATTAAGTCGTTTTATTATAAAAATTATTTGCTGCTATGCTTGTGCAGATCGGATGTGAAACCCTTCGGTCCGCGATTTTGAGCTTCACACCTTCAGTTAGCACCACTGCTTCTTTGTGTCGCGGAATACCCACGAAAAACCGGCCACGAAGCCGTCACTAAAAAAAGGTGGAAACGGCTTACGGGAAACACAGAAAGAAAAAAGAAAGGTGTATTTTGCATTGACAGGCAGTCGCACAGTAGCGCTGCACTACCATGCTCGAACCTGAAGCACAAGGGCCGGTGGTATAGTGGTAACACTGTGTGTTTGGATGCGAAGAGAAGTGGTTCGTTTCCTAGCCGATCCAAAAAAATTCTCAAAAAAGGACTCCGTTCGCGACACTTTGATATATATGCACCACCTTTTCTGAATTATCCGAGTGTCATTTATTTTATTGCTAATGCTACAGAGTATTCCCTTTCTTGAATGAAACAAATTCCTCGTTACCTCCCAGTTCTGTGGCTTATGTCTCTTGTTCGCTTAGAAGAATTTGTTTCTGGTAAACTGGAAAAAAAAACATACTTTTTGAGATTGCCGATACCAGCATTACCCGATTTTCGACATTTTGCTGCTTTTCTACTGGATGCTTTTTTGATAGCAGTTGTTATCTATTCAGTAACTGTATCAGTTGGCAAAGTATTTGCTAAAAAACATAACTATCAAATCCGTCCAAGTCAGGTAAATAAATTACTTAGCCGGAATCTTAATGCTGCTGAAATCCGGAATTCAGAACTGACAAGTAATTTTTTTCAACCTTGAAAAACTTTGTTTTTAACCGTTTTGAAATATCGTTGGTGTGTGTTTTACGCCAATTCGTTTCAAACATTGACACTCCCGGGCCACGGCTAGAAAAATTTTCCCAAAATGCCTATTCATTTTATTTTACATGTTTTTTACTTCTAAAAATTTCCATACATTTGAAAAATTCGTTGTGTTTTTTTCAAATACTGCCCTTTTCGATATTGAAAAATTGTATCAATGGGTTTACAAAAAATTCAGTACTGTGAGACTCATTAACAATCTTTTGGTCATCTTCAACATTCCTGCTACTGCAGAAGTCAAAGGCTTAATCAGTACAAAATTATAAAATATATCTGCTTGTTTGCACGTTTCTCACAATAAGAGCGACATTAATTTTAAGTTCTTAATTTTGTAATAAATTACCAATTTATATAGAAGAAAAAAACTAGTTAATGAGCATGAAATATATCTCAAAATATTCTACTGCTCAGATCCTCCCCTTCTGATGACACAACAAGTTAAAACTCCCTTTGTATTTGCTTTTTTGAAATCTAAAGCGCTCAAAATTAGCTCCAGTGATAGCGCATGTGCCAGCACTAACAAAACACGAGAAAGTTTGCCAGTAAATTATACGTCTCTAATGCAAATACTAATTTTTAAAGGAACTGAGAGCGATGGCGCTTTGCCAATTAGTTGGTGGTTTTCTGAGCTGCCATCCGGCAAGTGGAAGCTTATCGAGAGCAGTTATCAATTCGCAGCTTGGCGCAACTTCTTCTGTTAGCTCTTTGTCCTCGTGAAGTCTAACAGTATTTCTACTGAAAATCGTGATTAGTGATTGAATTCAATTAATTGGTCGGTAATTGAATTCAGATTGAATTAAAATTGATTAATAATGGGATCGTTTGGTAATTGAATAGCAATTGAAGTTCGAATTAAAATTTAATTACAAACACATGACTACTGGTATCCCTGAAATAGAGATAAATCATTTG